CGCCAATGGTCCTCCACGTGCCAGCAGAAGGTGGCGCCCAGCATTCCGATGTACAGCAGCGGCGTGGTGACACCCGGCACAGGCCCGCCGTCAAGCAGCCGCAGGGACGAGCCCGGCGCGCGCGCCAGCGCCTGGCCACACCACGGCCACGGCGGGGCAAGAAAGGGCGGGAGGGAGACTGCGGGCGGTCAGGGGCTGCTACGCCGGGGAGCAGCCAGGGCCATGCCCCGGGCCGCAGCGCAGCGCTCCGAAAGGCACAGCAGTACCTTGGTAGGTGGGGGAGCCCGTCAAGGGCTGAGCTACCGCCACAGCGCACCCTGAGGACAGCCCTCCTCGTCACAAGAAGCGCGCCCTCCCGCTTTCCTCGTGTGGCCCCTCCTGCGCACCCCGAGGTTCCAGGGCCCCGCCGCCAGCGCGTCGTCCGCGCGCTGAGAGAAGGCGCTGCCGTCGAGGTCGTTCCCGTACACCACGGGGGACTGCGCCGTGGCGGAGGAGGGGGCGGGGCGGTGCTGCAGGCGCTGGCGCCAGTACTCAGCCTGGCGCGGGATGGGGAGTGCGGCGGGGGAGGGGCCAGGAGGGAGGGGCTGGCTTCAAGGTTGCTGGGTCAGCGTTGACTTGAACCGCCCCACAAGGTCATCGAGCGCGGATAAGCGTCGTCGCGTCGGCGCTGGCTCCGAGCCGCTTCCCTCAATCCTGTGGCGCCGCCGCAGGTTAGCCCCAAGCCACGCGCACCTCGGCCATCCTGGACGGCATGGGCGCAGTGCTGCCAAACACCTTGCGAGCATAGGCATCGGCCATCTTCTCGTGCTGCTTGAGGGAGTAAGGCCTGGCATTGCAGCAGTACAGTAGCGGCGCAGGTCGGCGGGGAGGGTCGTGCAAGGGGGGTGATCACGTGCAAGTGCCAACAAACAAGACGTGCCACACCAGCGCACTGCGCAGTGCTGGACGACACAGTCTTATACCCACTGCAACCTAGCGACCTCTGCCCCGGCGCGGCCGACAACCGTTCAGCTTGCATTCCCCTCCTCACTTGTGGCTCTCCCACATCTGGGCGTGCGCATCATCAAAGCTTTGCCACGTGCTGCACGCCACAAACTGCTGCCGCACGCCGTAGCGCCACGCGGGGTCGCGTTGCGCCAGCACCAGCGGACCGGGCACGGCTGGCAGAAGGGGCGGCACGATGCGGAAGATGCCCGCTGCGGCGGCGGCGCCCTGGATGGCGCGTATATAGGCGATGGGGTCGGCCCACTCTGCTGCAGTGGGGTGGAACACAGGCGCCTCCTCGATGGTGTTGATCCACGCGCCGGCTGGCTGCGCAGGGAACGCACACATGGCGCTCAGTCTCTGCGCCCAAGAGCGTTAGAAAGGGAGGGGGAAGGGCGGGGGCGCGCGAGGGTAAAGTGGCTCATCGCACGACTGCTAGGGGGCTGGGCTGCGCCTGCGGAAGGGGCTGGCAACTGAATGCGCGCTTCATGTTGCCTCGCGACGGCTCACGCGACCCCTGGATGGACGCATCGTGCCATTCCTGCTGCACCGTGCGGTTCACACGATCCACACGCTGCCTGGGTTCCGCGACAGAGAATATCATCCAGTATAAGTACGGCCCGCCGCCGCCGTCATCGCAACGTGCACCACGCCTCTGGGCAGCACAGCGATCAAGCGGCCGCATGTGGAGCTGTATACATTTTAACCACTCACCATCTCCTCGCGCTCGTCTGCAGACACCCGGGCCCGCTTGTATGCTCCCTTCAAGGCGCCCGCCCCATCCTTCACCTCTTTCTCGTCCCCCATGGCATCCACTTATGCGGTATGCATGATATCTATTTTAGGTGCCTATCTGAATACTTAAGCGGCTGAAAACGTCACTTCCGCATCCCGGCCAGGCCCCGGACTGCATGATCTGATGGTGATGCAGCGCGAGCCGGCGCGAGCATTAATGATGTATGGATGCACACATCTATACTGGAGCGTTATGACACCGCGGCGGGTCACGCATCGGGCAGCGAGCGCGGCTGCTTGTGCATTGCGCAGCGCTTACTAATTTTGCAGCAGCAGCGCACCGATTGCAAGACACTGCATTTTGACGCAGGCGCGCTCGCATTGAGGTCCCCCAGCGTTGCCTTACGCCAAGCAAGAACGTCTGCCTATGCTACCATCGATTGCCACCGTAATGTGTTGGCTCACAAAAAGGGCCAGGGGTAAACAGGCAGATCGGCCATGCCATAGCCGCTGAAGCTCTTGCTAGATAGTGTTGCTGTGCGGTCGGCTGTGGACTGCCCCCGCGGTCACCACCGCCACAACCAGATTCCAACTGGCAACCCCTCGTACTGACTGCAGGCCCCACGCTGGGCCTGCAGCGTGTTACACAACTGTTACTGTTACTCAGGCGGCTGCGTCCATCAAACCCAGCGACTGTCAGGTTGAAGCCCCGGTGGCGGGTAGCACGCACGCTGGGTCATCCACCTTGCAGCGCATCACAGCCAGGCGCAGCTTCGGGCGGAGCTGCAGCTTGCTCCCTGCACCGCCGCCACCACCACTACCACCACCACGAGACCTGGCAGCCACACTCTCGCCGCCTTCTCCCTGAGCGCCAGACCTCGCCTGCCCGCTGCTGCGGTTGGAGACAAGCACACCGTCCTTGCCCTTGCGGCGCGGCTGCAGTGCGACCCCGCCGTCGCCGCCGCTGTCGCCGTCGTCACTGCGGCGAACACCGCCGCCGCCGCTGCCGCCGGCCTGGCGCATGGCGGGCGTGAAGCCGGCGTCGTCGCACCACATGGGCACGAACACGAAGTCCTGGCCGTGCTGCCGCTGCAGCGTGGGGCGCGCCAGGGCGACCGACTTCACGGCGTTCTCCACGGCATACGCGCCCGCCACCTTCATGACCGTCTGGCCGCGCCGCGGCATGTTGGCCACCAGGTTGCGCGCCCAGTCGGCCTCAAAGCTGCCCGCCGTCACGCGCACCTGCCGATTGCCCGGCCCCGTGCCGCCCGGCACCAGCTCGGGGGCCAGCGGCGCGGGCGTGATGAACACGTCAAAGGCGACGGCGTCGGCGCCGCCGGGCGCGCGCCCGCGCAGCGTCGGCTGCACCAGCAGCTCCCGGCCGCCGGCGCTGGAGTTCCGCAGGAACTTGCGCGCTGTGGCCAGGGCCTTGACGGCGATGTTGGTGGCGGCGGCGCCGGCAGAAAACAGCAGGCAGTGGCTGTGCACCTCCGCTGCCTGCGCCATCGCACCCGCCAGGGCAAGCGTGCGTGTGTCACGGCCGACTGTGAACACCGGGCTCACCATGAAGCCAGGTTGCGGAGCGCAGGGCGGCGGCAGGGGCGGCGGTGCGAAATTAGAGGAGGAGCCCGTGGTAGCTGCGGGTGATGCTGCCACGTGCACGAGCTGGCGGGGCTCAGCCTGGCCTCGTCTCTGGTGCTCCGCTGCCGCTGCTGGGCCACTCCGTTTGGTCTGCTCACCCTGACGCAGGTTGGCCCTGTGCTGCTGCTGCTGCTGCTGCTGCTGCTGCTGCTGCTGCTGCTGCTGCTGCGGCTGCTGGTGAAGCTGCTCATGGTGCTGGTGATGTTCCTCCAGGTCCTGCAGCTGCTGCAAACTCACCGCTACGCACCCCGCCTCCCGTAGCTGCTTTTTGATACTGCCAGGCTGCATAGGCTGCTGCTCCTCGGCCTCCTCTGGCCCATCTGTTTTCTCCAGCAAATCTATAAGCGGCGCGGGCGGCGCATCCGCCTCGTGCTCGTGCTGCGGGAGTAGGCTGGCCACTACGGGTGCCGGCCTGTGGTCCAACACGCTGCTGCTGACCTCCTGCGCCCCACCGCTGGCGCGCGCGCTGCCAGCTACGCCGTGCCCGTCCGACCGCCAGCTCAGCAGGCGCCGGGGCGCGGCACTGCCCGGCGCAGCCTCCACCTGCACAGGGCGCATGGGGCGCACGAGCGCCGCGGCGGGCTTGGGGCCGGGAGTGGCGCCAGTCATCTGCCTCAGCCACGCCGCACGGGCGGCAGCTGCCGAGCCCGGCTCGGCGTGGCCTGCTGCATGGTCGGCCTGAGGGCCGCCGCCTTCCTGGACAGCCCTGACACGTGCTGCCGCTGTCTCGGCGACCAGTGCCGAATCCGACGCGTCCTGAGCCTCAACGAAGAGATTGACAGTCGGCAGATGCGGCGCAGCTGCCACCACATCTCCCGCAGCATCTGCCGCGGCCCAGGCCACCGCTGCCGTCCTCGCCTGTGGGGCTCTCATGAGCGGCTTGCAATCAGCTGACACGAGTGCCGACCGCCCAAAATGCTGTTCATGGAATGCGTGGCACTGCACGAGCAGCAGCCGTGCTGCCGCGAGGGCTGCAGGCATTGAGACCGGAGGTGTTGCAGCGGCATGCTCGCGCTGCTGCTGCGCCGCCGGCCGCCGGCGCCGCCCGCCACGGCTGCACCGCAAGCAAGCGGTGCCAGCCAGGGGCGCGGGGAGCGCTCTCGGCCAGCCCGCCACTGCTGATTGCTGCTGCATCCCGGTCCAAACGCCGTACTGCAAAGTGCGAACGTGCTAGTAGCCCTGGCTGGCAGCATGCGCGCTGCTTTAATTCGAGCCACGCGCGCACCCTTATCTTATCCGGTAAACGTAGATATTTGTTCGTACAAATGTATGCACCAATACCCGCAAAAGCCCACTCCGACTTCAATCACCCCAGTTGCAATGCTGCATCGGGGCAGACTGTGGTGTGCGTGCCCAGTCACCCAGCTCGGGCTGTACGCACCTGAGCCCAGCCGCGTGCGACACCCGTCATTGAGATGCGCTGCTCTTTGAGATTGTTGATCAACCAGGGAGACACCTGCCGCGGCACATGCACACACAGACGGCATACCGTACTGATGCCACCTGCCCATGGGCTGCAACGTTGGCGGTCCCCCAGGCCTCCAGCTGGCCCTTAGAGCTCCAGGCTCCAGCCCATTCTTGGGAACTGGGCTTGCTGGCAAAATAACGGTGTATGCTGGTCCAAATCGTTGACGGGCGTCGCCGATACACTGGACACCGCTGCCACAAGCTTGTGCTTGGGGCGCTGCATCTGTATTCAGATTCCTCAACTAGTCGCCAGGTAGGGTAGTGGCTGATGTGTTGCCCCTTCTTGCACTCTGCCCCGCAATCACAGTGGTTGGTTTGAGTGTCACTGTTGATGTATTCTTTTGGGTGTTCACTTGATGCATCGTGTTGCCGACCATGGTTTCCTCCTCAAAAAAACTTGTTTCAACTTGCTATGCAATGGACATGGATAGGGATGCTCGTCGGCGGGAGCTGCACTGCCATATACACCCCAAAAAATACGTGTATGCCAACGCACCGTGTGTGGCTGATGATGAGGCGCGATCCCTTTGTATGTCGAGTGGCATTTTCTCACAGGGGGCAGGCGCCCTTTCCCATTTGGTCTGCCAGCGCCAGACTTCTGTCGCTGGCAAACGTCTGTCTCCATCTCAGCGGGCTGTGGCGGCTGGTGATTGAGTTCAGAAAAGCGTGTGCTGCATCTTGATGCTGTGTGTGGCAATCCTGAATACCGTCCGTCTCAACGCTACACACATTCATCAACCCCCGTCCACGCAACACACTGCAAAACAGAAGTGGGTCTTGCAGCGAACCAGCGATGCGGTGAGTAGCGCAGTTGGACCCATGTGCGACTGCAGGTGCATGGTTCCTTCTCTTTGATGCTTGCGCCTTGCTTGCTTCCTGCACCCATGACCAGAAGTAAATCTCCAAGAAGAGCTGTACAGGAGTCTAATCTGGAGGTGCGCAGGGACAGCAGACCACTCAGACCTCACCCAAGATGCCGTTCTGGCTACTATTGCACACTCATTTTCTGTGCCATGTAGCTTTGAGTATTGTCTGTGGCGCCAGGCTATCAATGGTGGTGGCATTTTAGACCAACCAGGCAGAAGGCGTTAAAGATCGCGTGACGTGTGCATGTGCGTGTGCGTGTGCGTGTGCGTGTGCGTGTGCGTGTGCGTGTGCGTGTGTGTGTGTGTGTGTGCGTGTGCGTGCGTGTGTGCGTGTG